ACACACACACACTCTCACAACACACAAAAAAAACTGCACTCGCTCAGTCTCCCTCTCACGCTCGCACACACACACACACACACACACACACACACACACACACACATAAACGCACAAACGCACAAGCACAACTGGCATATGAATATTTAGCCACCCACTCAGAAAAATTAATGACAAAAACACAGACATGAGTGCCTCTAACACACACATGCACACACACAAACTTCACCATCAGAACACACACACACACATTTGACACCAGATACATGCACATATAGGCATCCATATGCTCTGTGTGCAACGACCCATCAAAGACAGACATGGAAATAATAACAGTAGAGTGTAACCACACACACATACACACACTCACACACACACACATTCACTCACTGTGGATAATTCTACACATATGCATCAAATCACTGCCTCACAGTCCCTCACAATGGCAAGAAGCAATGTATATGCACCACATATGCAACATGCAGCACGTCTGTACCTCACTGGGTCAAACAATGTGTGTACACACACACTCACGCACTCGCCGCTGTAAGTGTATCAGTGTGTTAATAGGCAGATTAGCAAACTCTGTGATCTGCACTGGGGAGGATAATATCAACCCCATTTCTGCACCCAGACAAAACAAAGTGGAGCATGTTATTCCATAAATATGTCTGTCATCGTGCCCTCAGAGCCAACAGCGTTCACTTTCAGCGGTTCAACATAAACACACTGAACATGGGCTGAACTGTGCGCATTCAGGAAATATGTGAAACAAAGGGAAAAATCAGCAAACATGGATCACAATGAAAAGTTAAAATATGACACAAGATATGAAAAACAGGGGAGGATATTAAAGAAAGATGCATGAGAAAGAACTGAAGCCTGACATAGAGAAATTTAGATTTAGAAAAAAGCTGACATATTTATATGATCAATGCCAAAATGCCTGTGCAATTTAACTGTCTCTAAAAACAGACCATTGGAACCAGTCATCGCACATTTTTTATTATTAAGGAAGAAAAGAAAACATTAAATTACTTTAATCCAAATATTGATTTTATCACAGTTATTTGCAGCGTTTTAGTTTAATTTTAGTGAAGTTTTGTAAAATGATACTTTTGTAATTTAAGAAATCTTAAAAATGCTGCAGATTTTTAAGATTTCAAAATTTTGATTTGTTGTGGGAAAAATGTATGTGGAAATTAAATGTTGAAATAAACACTCTCACCTTTGGTAAAATGTCATAATGCAGCTTATATTATTATTATTATAATTATACTTTAAAATTGAAAATTAGGCTACTTCAAATTTATATTTCTGAGTTATATGTGGAATAGTGTCCGTGTTGGAGGCAGTAGCAGGATATATAAATATATAAATATACAGGACTGAGAGTATAGACAGAAACCAGGCTCTGGTGTCACTGTACCTCCTCCAGGTCTCGGCCCATAGTCGACCTGTCGCACTTCAAAGGAAGCCGCGTTACACCCTTGCAGAGAGAAAAGGGAGAGTCTGTTTGAGAGCTTCAGTTTCAGATTGAAGAACATGCACTGACTGCTTCTTTTTTCTTTTTATCTCCGAGCTGTGCTGCTGTGTGAGCCTGGGTGGCAGCATCCGATCCTCAGGTGGAAGTCAGGGCACTTTCTTTCTTTTTTTTTTACGAGCTCCTCTAAATCCCTGAGCTGCTCCCTGCGCATTCCTCCGTCTTTACGCACGAGAGAAAATAAAATATAATAATAATGAAAAAGAAAAACACGCGGCCTGCGGCTCGTGCATTGTGGAGGAATTATCCCTGATGAACCAATTAGACTCGGAGCATCACTTAACTCCGGGGTTTTTAACTTGCAGGGGTCGATATTCAGAGCCACGCATGCAGCTACAGCAGCGGGTCAATTAAGACTCCGAATATTATCACTGCGTAAAGTCTGCATGGGAAATAATTCCAACTCCTAATTAATGTTTGTATTTTTTTACTCCCTCCTTCATGAAACAATTGTGAAAGTTCCCTCTTGAATGTGCTTTGTTAAAAAACAATTGTGCACCGATTTCTGAGCATTATGGAGGCTGGGAAAATAGGTAGTATTTATCGAATCCATTTCATCGATTACATTTAAATTGCATGCTGTTTCCTGTTGACACTTGCGTGGATTGTGTGATGGTTGTGAATCTCCTGCTCGTGTGCTTCAGACAGAAAGAAAGGGGGAAAAGTTTCTTCAAAGATTAAAAGCCTATTAAGGCCTGTTATGAGAGGTGTAAATTATCCACCCACAGAAAAGCCTCCATCGCCACTGGTGTTGATTTCGTTAGAGAAACACACAATAATGAAAAGTGAATGCACGTGTGATAGATTGTCAATATGTAATCCTAACACCCCTGATAACATAAAACATTTTGAATATTCAGCTGAATCAATTTCTCCGATTTGTATCAACACGAATATACGTTTTAAAACGTGTCAGTGATTATGCAAATAGATTATTTTATTAGTTGCCAAATAATTCACCAATAACAGCTGATTTTTTGAATGAAAAATATAAAAATGTAAAAATCTATTTAAAAAGAGATCGATCACTTTGGAGGAGAAATTTCAAATTGATATTTATTTTCTTTTCATTTCCTTCACGCTGCAAGAGGCAGGTGCTGCTTTTTATTGTTTGTGGTTCAAAACAAGTGAGGAGAAAAAAAATGGTTTTACACCAAAACGCTTGATTCTTAATTCGGAGACTAAAATCTTTTGGTTTGTTTACAGCCATCGGTCAGTGACGTTTGTGCACCGACATGATCAGACACCTGCTTCTTTTAAAATGTGCTGAGAAAATGGAGCACTCGCGTCGAAGGGATATTTTCTCTCATTTCTTAAGTCCTGATGTGTGTGTGATTTACAAGGAATTCAAATTAATAATCATTTCCTAATGTTTTGTCTTGGTGATGCCCTGCACCTCCACCACAGCTGCATCCGTCCTGCCCGGCGCAGAGCTGCTGCATGTGCGTCTCCATCGATCAAATGGAAATATAATTTGGCCTTAACAACAGATAAAATACCGCATCCCTCGTGCCACCTTGTTGATCTTTAAGGGAGAGAGGAGAGGGGAGATTTTGAAACACAAGCCCATAACCCATCTCTCTCCTCCCCAACACCCCAGGGTGCGCCATCTTCGGCAAACACAAAGTCATTATCGGTTAGATTCCAATAAGGCGAGTCTGTCAAGGAACAGGCTTCCTTTGGAGAATTTATGTCATGCCTACTAAACATGGGAAGATGTCTTCTAAGTGGTGCGAGGAAGGATAAATAACAGCGAGTCCCACAGCTGATTATATTGAAACAACGGTGCGCATTTGTAAAAAGGACTGGGGATGCAAACGTGGGGTCCCAGCAGATGCTGAGCACAGGGGCCCGTCCACCTGCTCCATACCGGGAGAGGAGCAGAGGAGCGCGCACCCACCTCCTCCATCTCCTCCAAACCCCTCAGCAAGAGTTGGTATTTATTTTCTTTAGGGAAATGTAAAGAAAAGGACTTTGTACAAATGTAATGTGCATGAAAAGTGCACGGATGCGATTCATTTCCGTGTGGTAATTTTTAAGTTAATGCCAGAGTAAGTTAAATGTGAAGAAGAGGGTGGAATAAATTAAATAAAACACACAAAACAATCAAAGGAAAAACAGTTGCCTGCAAATGTGCCATTTCCAAAAGTTACCTCGGTTACATGGTTTAGTCTCAACGCATCGGTTTCACATCCTAGATTACACCTTTGGGACTGAAACTAGAAAACAGTGTTCGGGCTGTGGGCATCGACACGGTGACAGAATAAGTTTCTCATCATTTACAACAGAGCCGCGGCGGAGCTGTTGCGCAAGAGCCGCTGTGGCCTGAGCGCGTAACAGCGTGCGCATGGTACGGAGAGCCTGCAGGTCCCGCAATGATTAACTGCGACCTAACAACCATCCCCTATCTTTACTGTCGGCCCCCTCACACACGTGCGCGCGAACGGACGTGCTCATACACACACATAAACACACACACACGCATAAATGCACTCCTCTTCCAACTCCTTACCTGACAAATGTCTCTGAGAAATAACTCTTGCTCTAACTCGGGACATACTTCAAACTAAAGAAAAATACGGACAGAAAACTATTGAGGGATTGAGAGCAAACATCCACGATAACAGGCGAGAAACGTCTGGAGAAAATGTGGACTTTCCTCAGCCGGTGGACACTGTCCGTTATCACTACTCTTTTTTCCAGCGGAGCCTGCGTTCACTCGCGGCTCCTCTGCCGGTCTGCAGCCGCGCAAGGGGCTTCCTGCCTCGGCCACATGAAGTCAATTAACCGGTCCCAGAGGGGTGCCCCCTTCCCGAGCCTTTATCTGCACCGAGGTTATCAAAACACTGCTGTTGCTTTGCTTTTAAACTCCACACCGCTCACAGACCAATTACGCAGACTTAAAGCATGTATGTAACCAATCCAGACAGGGATAATCCATCAAATGGTGAATTCAATTATTTATCTGGTAGTGGGCAAATTTTTGCATTTAAATGTGTGTTTTTACAAGTAAATAAAATATGCTATTTTTTTAGTTTTTTTTTAGAGAGAGTGGAAAATGACTCTTGTATGGAATTAGTGAAATAGTAAAACCACAACATGAACACACACACACACACATTAAATGTGAAATATTACAAAAGTCGGCACGAGTTGTAGAATTCATTTGCATGTAAAAACTCTTCATTTTGAAATATCACCAACAAAACACTGCTCACAAACACCAACCCACCACACATTACACACACACACACACACACACACACACCTACTGACACACATACAAACACTCTAATTCCACTAACACACACACACACACAGATAGTAAACATCACATATCTGAACATGCATCACCAGAGGAAAAATAAAAGTTTGCTCCTTGAATACAGAAGAGAATGAAGGAGAGAGGAGTCAGGCATGGAGAGGGTGAGAGAGGGTGAGGCTGAGCTTGACGTACCTGCTGGGACATTCTGTAGAGGAGGTTGCTGTCAGTGCTCTGCTGCTGCCATGTCCCCATGAAGCCCGGCTGCTCAGCACTAGGCGGTCTGGTGCTGAACTGCATGGAGCTTTCGCCTGCTCCCTCAGCGCTGCTGCTAACGATGCTAATGCCACCCAGACCACTTCTGCTGCTGCTGCTGCTGCTACTGTGGCTACTGGAGGGGATGCTCGTGCAAACGCCAGCGGTGCCGTGGGGTCCGTTAGCCTTTGCTGGAGGTGGCCTGGGCACTTCTGGGTCTGTGCTGGGCTCTGGTGGGACTGTGTCGCACTCACTGCCTCTCACATCCAACTCTGCCTCTTTGGACTTAGACAGAGAGAGAGAGAGAGGGAGAGACAGAGAGAGGGAGGGCAGGAGGGATGTGGGAGTGTGAAGGAGGAGAGAAGAGAAAAAAAAGTCAGTGAAGGTGGGTTCTTTTGGGGTCGTGTTGCCTTTTGTTCGCCTCATGTGAGACCTGCTTCTCGAGGAGGACAGCAGGGAGAGGGGAGATGATGGAGTAGTGTGTGTGTTTGTGTGTGTGTGTGAGAGAGAGAGAGAGGTTTCTTGGCAGCTGTGGTGGTGGAGGAGTGTGTGTGGAGTTAATTCTCCTGAAGAGAGAGAGAAAAGAGGGGCTTGCGGTGAATTTCCTCTGGGGCCTCGTCCTGGACAGGGCGAGATGAGCGGAGCAGCGGAGGTGAGGAGGGATGAGGAGAAGGATGGAGGTGAGGAGGGGGCTGATGAGAAGGTGAGCAAGAATGGAGTAAAATAAAATAAAAAAGAGGAGGAGGCGGTGGTTGAGTGAATTATAGTTGAGGTGGGATGCATGATGTTGTTTGTGGCCTTATAGGTTGTTGGTTTTTTTTTTGCTTTTATCCATCAGTCATTTTGTTCCCGGGCATGGACTCAACACAAACACACAATCAAACACGTGTTGACATGCATGCACACACTCACACATCCTGCAGTGCTCTAAACTAAAAGAAATGTCAAAGAAGTAGAGAAAAAGTTAAACTACAACTTAGGAGCTGCCATCATCACATCACACTGAACACATGCTCACACGAGGATGAAAACCAATCAGTGTTCATGTTTATTTAGTCAATAAGCAGAAATGTAAAGAAATCTAACATAAAGCAGCAAAGAAACAGAAACACAAATAAACCGTTTCTGGAAAAAAAAACTAAGTGTGCATGTCAAGAATCTAAAAGCACAAAAAAAGAAAACTATTTGTTTTCTAAATACAATAGAAGTCCAGTGAAAGGCTCAATAAAAAGCGAACAGCTGAACGGATAAAACGCAAGAGTGTCTCTTACCATCAATTCAGTGTGTGTCCCAGCAAAGTGGAGAAGAGATGTGGGAGTGAGCCACCAGCTCTCCAGCTCTCCCTGCCTCCCGCTCCTCTCTCTCTCTCTCTCACTCACTCTCTCTCTCTTACTCTTCTACACTCTCTCCCTCCCTCTCTCTCTCTCTGTGGTTGTGTCCCTCTCTCTGCGTCCGTGCCGCCGCCTGTCCTCTCTCTTCTCCTCTCGCTCTCTCTCTCTCTCTGACTCCCTCTGTCTCTGACTCCCTCTGTACTCCACGGCAGCCGCTGAGGAACTGAAGTGAGTGCCTGAGTATGTGTGTGTGTGTGTGTGAGCGAGTGAACGTGTGTGTGCTACAAGACAGCGATCGACTGAGTGTGTGTGTGTGTGTGTGTCGGGCTCAACTGAGTCAACGGTGCCTCTGCACTCTGAGATGCTCAATGACATCGCGCTGCACGCTTCTTCTCTCTCTCTCTCTCTCTCTCACTCTCTCAATCGCGCGCGCGCACACACACCTCCTCTGCTGGGGGCAGAAGGATGGGGGCACGCGCCATCGCAAAACACAGAGAGAGGGGAAGGGGGTGTCCCTCTGCCTTATTACTACCGGCACGTCTCAGAGCAACTTAGTTCTCCTGTGGGACATCCCACACACGCACACACACACACACACACACACACACACACAGAGAGAGAGAGAGAGAGCTCAGTTTCTATTTTGAAATTTAAAAAAGCAGTTTTAAGATAAAAAGCATCAGTGTTTCAGATTGTGAGCAAAAAAATATTTCTTTGTTCGAAACGTGAGAAAGCTGGATTGTAGTTTTTACCGGAGTGTTCTTTGATTGCAGCTGATAATGGTTCTATTTCTGATTTGTAGGGCAACCATCAGAAAACAAACACAAAAAAAACATGAGGAAAAAAAATATCTATACACTTGTTATGTTTCGCAAAAAAATCTGGTGCCTTTGTTTGATTTTCACCGACTCTAATGAAAGACTAATGGAACGCAGGCAGTGTGCCACCACACACACACACACACATATGCACACAAGCACACATACACACACACAGGACCCTCCCTCCTCTCCCCACGGAGACTCTCAGATTTTAATTAAGAAAAAAATGAGGAAGAGGTTCCATTTTAGCCAAATTGGTCCCCACAGCAGCAAAGGTAAGAGAATAAAATGAGGGATGGAGGAGTAAAGGGAGGCAGACACAGAGAAAAAGACACACAGGAGGATAAAACCCCCCAAAAAGAGAGGGAGGAAGGAGATCTATGCTTCCTCTGACAGAGCACAGGACACATCTCAAACAATGAAGACATCCCCCCCCTCCCCTTCTTCCATTTCCACCTCCTCCTCCCTACCCCTCTTCCCTTTAAATCTCCAATCTCCTCTTCTCCACCCCGTCCTTTTCCAGCACCACCATCATTAGAGAAATGACAGACCAGGTGCCTGAGTCTGCGCCGAGAGTCATTGTGATCTTTTCACCGCTGAGCAACAAAAGAGAAAGGGACAGAGGGAGAAGTTCTCTCCTCAGCTGCGTTTAAATGGCTCCTGATGTATAAAGTCACTTCAGATTTTGTGGTAAATTGCAGCAGACAGCAGCTCGGTCGTCTGTTAAAAGCCTTCGGTGCAGTGTACGACTAATGGCAGCATACTGTTAACCTTTGCAGAGATTATCACACTGGTCATTACTGTTCTGCACAGGGGATTTCTATTAAGCAAAGAGAAAAGTGTAGTGTCTGTCTCGCCACTTTGAAAATGGGCCGCTGTGTCTTTTGTCTCGAGCTCAATTTATATCTCCACTCCTATCTCCATCACTGCCTGCATCTTTTCTACATCCTTTTTTGTTTTCTGTTATACCCCTCTCTTTACCTCGATCCCTCTTTCTTTTACTCCCTCCCTTTCCATTCTTTTCTCCATTTGTCTTCTGCTCCGTGGCCTGCGTCTTGTCATAAAAGGCGTAATGTGTCACCTCCTGTCCATGAAACGCCAGCTCTGCTCTTAACAACTTATTGAAGAGGAAATGCACGAGGCTTTGGCTAATTATATTAAGTGACAATTTAGCGGCCAAGGTTCCTCTTTGCTTCCCAGCTCACGCTTTTCTTTCTCCCCCCGTCCCCCCCTCCCCCCTCTCGTCTGTAAATGTGCTTGTCTGTGGGTTTTTTCAAGTGGCACTCAGTGTTTCAAGTCAAGCTGGTGGCTCAGCTTCTGACCTGGCTGGTTAATGGCTGTTATTTGTGGGAGGGAGGAGTGGACTCTGCCAATATTGCTCACTCTCCCTCCACATCTCTCAGTCTTTTTTTCTTCTCCCCCCTTCCTCCCTTGCCCCCTTCGCCTCTGCTGATGGTGATGGCCGTGATGACGGAGGAAACGAAAAAGAGGTGCAGGAGTAAAAATGCGGAGATGGATGGACAACTTTGGGGGGGAAGAAGGAAATGGAAAGATGAAAAAAAAAAGCACATGAATTAGAAAAGGGGCAGCGGGGGGGAAAAAGGAGTGATGCAGGAGATCCTCAGGCTCCTTTATTAAAACTATTATTGTGCAGGACTTGAGAATTCCCCCAGGGGCAGGGGTCCATGTCGAAGCCCATATAATTAACTAGAGGCTCAGCTACGGATCAATTACCAGACAAGCAAGTGATAGCCGAATCAATGGAAGATCATCAGGCTCGTTATCAGTGTTGCAACTCATTAGAGGAAAAGTGAGGTAGAGAAAGAGACGGAGCCAAAACAAGGGGTGGGAGGTGGAGATGGGGGAAGAGGGCAGCTGGGTGAGGCAGGAGAGGGCAGGAGAGGGCAGGGTCGGTGTGTGTGGTGGACTGTGTGTGTGTTGTGTTGTGTTCCTCCTTAGCTGCCACTGACTGGTGACAGGGGGAGCTGTGTATGACAGAGTGCAGCCTGCTCTGTAGCAACACTCACTGAGGCTTGTACAGATCAATACGAGCGTGTGCACGAGGTTAAAGCTCTTCCATAGCATCCTTATTCCCCGGCGACTCACATGCTCAGTCTGGGGTCCAATCCCCACAATCCGAGCGGTCAGACAGAGACAGCCAGGATTGAAGAGTTCCAGATCAAAGACTCAAAGCTGCAGGAACATGAAAAACCAACAACTGTCACTAGGGATGACGCTTTAAAAAAAATGATGAAGGAAAAAAGTAGAATTATCATCATTTAATCAGCTGATTAAATTATCAACAAATCTTTCTAGTCTGGGTGAAATGTCAAGTAAAAAAAAAAAGAAGCAGCAGCATAAAGCAGAAAATATGCAGCGTGATCCATTCGCTTGTTTCGCCAAATTTGCTGCATGAGATCATTTTCTTCTTGCTCATTTCGGTACATTTCACTCATCAAAACAAACAGTGTGCATGTGACACATTTTGATAATCGTTTGATACTGCTGCTCTCATGATCCGAGCGCAAGCAGTGTCCACATATAATTTTTTTGTCCTGGATATTTTTTATTAAAATACCTAGAGTATGTTAAATAATCAACTAACGGTCTGAGACATATTGTCTACATGCTGTTTCTGTTTTGAGATTTAAAGTGGCAACACTTTTGAAATCTTTTTTCTTTCTGGGTAAAAATTTTTTCTAGCTTTGGAGGAAACGTACGATTAATCAATCTACAAAGGTTTCATTCTTGTTTATGTCTTTTTCTGTTCATCCGGTCTTGTTTCAGTAAATATATATAAATATATTTACGCTGGGTAAATATAAAATCTAAAATAATAACTTTAGGCCCGAGTGAACCTCCTCTGGGTCATCAGACACTTCACATCTGCTCTCTTGACCTCTGACCTTCTACAACTGCATGCAAATGGTGCTGATGCCATTTCAAATATTTCAAATTGTACACATTGTGAGCTCTATAATATTTTTTTAAAGATGTGCTTTGGACGTGATATCCTATAGATCAATTCAATTTGTTGTGTGTGTATATATATTAAGATATTTCTCTTTGTATCTCCCTGTTCTTACTTTCTATGTTTGTATTTTTTGGACACACAGGAAACTTGCTATTTAATTGAATTGTACAATTCTGCCACATTGGATTAATTGACTCTAGATCTTTGCACTCTTATTGTTAAGTGTACACGTAATACAATTTACAGTGGCCTAATAATTGAATGTGGTGCTGTAGTCAATTGGTTGGTCGATATGTTCTTGTCAGACCAAATTCTCATTGGCCGGACAGTCACCAGTGTTCAATTCTTACATCAATATTGTTAAAGGATTAGTCCATTCATTTGGGAAGAGAGTTCATTACTTTTAAAAACAGACTACTTGTGAAAATTGGAGAGAAAAAAACCTAATGGAGAGTGTGTTCTAATGTTACTGAAAGTTTGAACTTTAAACTATCTGACGTCATGTCAAACAAGTTGATGTTGGGCAGCACTTAGTGAAAAAGGGTGACAAAAAGGTGGGGGGGAAGAGGAGGTGAACTTCTTTGCATTCAGATGTTAACTTTGTGTTTAATCCTTGAGGCTCTGAACGTGAACACATCAGAACTGACCTATTTCAAAGTGTTTGGTCTAATAATGATCCAATATGCTGCAGATACTATATTTTTATGTTTATTCATAATTAGGGTCCAGTCAGTGCACTGTTATAGTTTAGTTTAGTTTATTTCACGCAATATAAATCACAAAATACATAAATAAAATGTATTTCTGGTAGAAACTGGAATATGAGATCCACACCCAAAATATTTACATTAGAATAAAACATAAAATCAATAATACAGGTCACTGTGTCCGATTTTGTTGATCTAGAGATAATCGATATTCTTCTTTTCCATGTGACCACTGACACTGAACATACAATTTCAGTTCACCAAGATTTTTAAATCTACTATATTCAGTATTTAATCAATATGAATTAAACTAGTCACCAGTTGTAATTAGGAAAACTGATTAGCAGGTATTAGCAGTATTGAAGGTAAAATATTATCAAACTAGCTGATTGTCAGATCAGAAAAAGTTTTAAAAAGTGGGCACGTAAAAGCCAGACTTAAAATAGCGTCGACCTCTCTTCACAACACACTGGCTGTAGCTACAAACGTGTTTCAAAAGGCACCCACATTATAA